TCAAATTTGTTGTTTGGGCACAAAACCAACGCCCAGTGCCAACTGTTACATAAGCCATGCTTGCACAAGCGCTGGAAAAAGTTTCCCAGGGCATCCTGCTGCATAACCACTTTAATTCCATTATTTTTCCCACTCTAACAAAGAGACCCCAGTGCGATGCAGCACTGTGGCCAACTCACAACATGATGTTGAGCTAACGGTGCCACCCTTGTTATTCCCGCTGTCAGTGTGCCATTGAGGCCACTACAACTAGGCCACAACTGGGCATGACACATAACTCCTAAATCGTTTACCGGACTTCTATTCTCATTACACCATTGGAAAGGTGTGATTTTTCTCTTTTTTATGATACCAAAAAATCGCCATGGCACAAGTATTATGATTCACTGTGATTAGAATAGCATCACAAGGTCACAACCATGTTCACTGACCCCCTGGTGGACGAGTGGTGGACAACCATGCATCAGAATCAGGATTTCACGAGCCACTGCAAAAAGGGCATCATCCCCATCGATATGTACTATTGACTGCTACTCAAACATGTAACCAATCATAGCGATATCATGCTCAGCCTTAATAAGCTGGTCATCAGATGCTCCTTCGGGTCGCTTGATTTCAACATCATTCACGTTCATTGGATATCGCACTTCTCCAATTTTACCTGCCCAGTCAAAGTTGACTAGGAGGATCCCAGGCTTACCGTCTTTCCGGACCATGATGTTGGTAGTTCGAATGTCACCATGCACAAATTCATTTTGGTGGAGGTCGGTCACCTTCCTCTCGATTTCGGATTTGAACGAGGCTTTCATGTCTGAACACCGCAACTCATGATAATCATCACCGATCAAACCCATGACAACCATATGCCAACCCCCAGGAATGTCCTGAAAGCCCTCCAAAGCAGGTGCACATTTCAATGCGACGCATTTGAGATGTGCATCCTTGGAGTACCGATGAGTGAACTTGATGAATATTTTCTTATCACCAGCGGTACCAGAGAATAAGAGTCTCTTGTGGTCGAGCCACGATAAGTATTCAAATGCGCAGTTCTCGCCGCTGTCCAGGGAAATGAAATCGGTGGGATACAGAAAGTTGACGGTAGGATTGACCGTTATCTGTGGAAGTTCGGATTTGTAGTAGTGGTTCAACGCGAAGATCGCCTTCCTTGTTGCACCCAAAAAACGTGCAGTTTGCATATGCATATTGACGTCGGATGCATGGTAGAAGAGCGGCAAAGTGGGGGCCAGGACCTGGACATGAGGGTAAACGGTCCAGAGGGCACCTGCAAAGCCAATGTGGGCGCCTAGAATATGAACTTTAGGGTACATCCAGGAAACACACGTGTAGTACTCACCAGCGAGGTAGAGAATAAAGCAAGGGAGACAGGAACGGGTTTTATCTACCGAGTGATCCCGTGTCAAGGCGTTATAATACCAGGCGGCCTCAAAGAGAGGATCAGCACCGCCCGTGGAGAGCTCTTGCTTGACTTCGAGGAGCGCATAGCAAAGGTTTTTATACCGAAGATCCCCATCAGTGCAATAGGACTTGATTTTGGTGGGCAAAAAGTCGAGTTTATAATCTGAAAAGTGATTTCGAGCTGTTTGAGCCCTGGCGTCCTCATTCCCAAAAAAAGCCGACATAGAATGGGAGAACTTCGAGGCGAAATCATGATCTTCCTTGGTGGGTGTGTAAGTTTTGCAGTCATCTTGGAACTTGCCAAAGATGTGATGATACAGTGTAATGGGTACCGTCGCGTCGGCGATTGGGGGGCGGCTGAACGCGAACGCAGGGGGCGTCTTCTTCTGGTTGGCAGCAAAGGTATCGTGGACACCTTTGGATGAAGGTGCTTTTTGTGAAAAGGCTTCACAATACTCCTTGCGGGCTTGGGAAACAAGCCTGCCTTTATATGGGAACGCGTGACAGGTGGAAGGGGTCCCCAGCCATTTACTGAAGGCAGCTACAGCCAATTCAGAGCGATTAATCTTGTATACCAATAACTGAGCTGAGCCAACGAAACCATAACTTACTATCTGGCAGTACAAAACAGGGCAGTTGCACGGTCAAACAGATAAGGAGTAACACAATAATTGGTCAATCATGCACTCACCAATACGTGGAACCTGGACGACAATGTGGAGATGTCTACGCTGAGGCGGATGGAGGAAAATCTCGGATAATATATCCACAGGTGATAGCGATCCCGCATCTTCAAGTTCGACGGTCTTCATAGCCTCGTCGAAATTGTTATCGACTGCAATGGAAACCATCCAGAGTGTGAGGGCGTCTGCGGGAACGTGATCAATGATGGGTGTCTTCCCCTCCTTGATGGCTTTCTTGAGGGCGCCGACACACTTTGAACTCGTGATTTCGACCGGAAAGATATTGTTGGCGTCACTGCCACGAATGAGACAGTACAGTTCAAGAATAGGAGGATCTAATTGTGGCACTAAAGACAAGCTTGAGGGGGAAACGAACGTGTTGAATGCTCACTGTCGTCCTCTGTCTGTGGCTTTCGGCCTGTCACAAAGTCAGGTGTCTACTTATCGGGATGAGTGTTGACACACTGGGCAACTTGACGAGCAGTGCCTCTCCATTTGACAGTGGCTCTCCATCTGACACTGCATTTCGATCTGGATTGATCAAGTGTTCTATTACCTGCCTCGGACGGAGTTTTTTAACCCCCCTATTAGAGAATGCCTTGCTGACTAGCTCCTTAAGCACTTCATGATCATAATCGACGAAATTAGCTGGTGAGTTTGTAAATCTCCACACTTCGAGCTCGAATGCAGCAGTGTCGTCAAGGCGAGGCGACACCTTATCCTTGACCTTCTCCTTCAAGTCATCGACATCAGTCTCAGAAGATACTTGGACCTTGATCGGCTGTCCAGCAACAGGCCTGCTTTCGTGATCGACGAGGAGGCACCAAACTTCCATGACAGTGAACCAGACAAAATAAATTCGGCCAACTCCGTGACAATTGCCTACAGCTGAGCAAATCGATAGGTCAAATCGTGAGCGGTCCGACGGGTCCCTATTCGAACTTAGGCCACCAAGTAGCCGATGGAACATTCAAGCTGCTTCTGACGTTCAATGAGTCCTATCCCAACAAACCCGCCACTGTTGCCAAATATGCTCCATCCAAACGTTTATGCGAATGGAGAGCTTTGGCTGGTCACCTACCCACGATGTCGCTGCAGTACTGACGAGCATCTAAATGTTTGTTTCACGATCCCATCGGTATGGGTTTCGTTAGTTTTGACGCAAACCCTCATCTTATCCTGCACAACATCATTTGAGAGTGATTGATTACGCATGTACAAACAGTCAGCTCTCCTTTAGGGTTCATGTAAATGACAAGTCTGGTAGCAATGCGATGTGCTCAGAGTCGACCTCCCCCAAACCCGTGTCAAGCCGAGTCAGACAGATGCTAAGTTAAGAGTTGATAATGGTGCCAAGGCTAGGATGCTGGATCACCAGAACCCCATAGATGGTCCGAAGCAACGCCCCGAAATGACGACAGAGGAAGCAGACGGAAAGGATGAGACATTTCCTGCTTCGATTTTTGCGTGCAGGATCGAAATTTCGGGCAGAGTCAACTGAGCGTGACGATCCAAGCAAGTAAGCAACGTTAGTTGTGAGCCAGTCAGAAGTGGGGATGGGCATACTTACTGATAGGTCCAAATCCTTCTAATCGACCAGTGGTTTTCCCGAAGTTAACAATATTATTCCGGGCATGAAAACCTACTGGTTAAATGATGGAAGCACATGGAGATGGAGACAGGCAGCGACGATCGAGCGAGGGGCCCATGCCGAGATGGAGATGGCGGTATGGGAGGTATGGGAGGCTCAGGCAGAAAGGTTCAGGGGTGCGAGCTCAAGAGCGTTTGAAGAGGGATAAAGGTGAGTGATACCCAGTGAAAGAACACCGGAAAATCAGCCAATCGACCATAAATCGGCGTTCCAACCCTCAAAACCCCAGCGGAATCGACGCAAAAGCTGAGCACAATGCAGCCTGTCATCACCAACCCCACGGGTCATCGATTCTGCGAAAATCGGTGAAATTGCCCACAAATTCAGAATGTGCAGCACACAGTGGCCCGCCACCACAGATGTTGTACAATCACTGATCAGGAGTCGAGAGAAACATTCGATGGTAGAAAGGAAGACTCGAGCATGGAGAGTCTGAAGCGCTTGAGCCAAAGAAGTTGAGATGGCGAGTTTGGTGGCGAGATCGAGACAGAGATATGGGGGAACCGATACTTACGTCGTCGAGGACAAGAGACAGTGTAGATTCCTTAGCATCAGAATCAGCGGGCTGCGACTCCGATGAAGCGACTGGGCAATGCATGCCTCAGGACCGGTAGCGTTTCTAACGCTAGGTCTAACGAAGGATATGACTCGCTCACAATTCAGCCCAGCGGACACTCCTTTCGAGGATGGAACACTCAAGTTGGTTTAGGTACGGATGGTTTGACGCAAATGGCTCCTCGAAAGTCGCATCATCGTCGACACTGAAACCGATATGATGCGCCTGGACCGAATTCTCGTCAGCCAGCAATTTATGAACGAAACAAGAGAGCACACGCAAACGGAGGCACGGAGGCGCGACTAATTGGTATGGGTGAGCGTAGCTAACCTAAATGCCCCACCCAGCACGTTCCACAAAGAGCACGTGAAGGAGCACGTGTCCTCTTTTTTTTGGCGGAAGAAAACCTTGTTTATTTTACCACTTTGCCTCCGGCTGGCTGTATGCTAGTATAGGCACAATGTATTACTTCCCTATTCCCCCCAAAAACCCTATACCATACTCCATGGATGAAAAAATCTGTCGACGCTGCAAACAGTCCAGGCCCCTCCCACAATTTCGGCCTACAACTGCTGGCCTTACCCTTGCCTGCATTGTTTGTTTGGACCTTGACAAGGCCCGGCAACGGGAAAAAGTGCGGGGGAAGTTGGCCCACACCCTTGAAACCCTCCCAACCATTGGTGATTTCTACTCAATGCTCGAGGCTGCCAAAGAAAAAGAGCATCATACCCATACAATCCCTTTCTATTCTGAGGGTGTGCAGTTCGTCCGAATTACCACTCTAGGCAATGATGACATCCTCAGTGTGGACCCTGAGAGTCATACTGGAGAAACGGCTTACAGGGCACAAGCAGATGCTATAGGTGTACAGTGTCGAGACATTCTTGGCTACCGGTGGAAGTACGTTTAGCTAAAACTTGATAATTCTGAAATCACATTGAGTAACCCTACTCACTTCAGTTATCATGGCACCAAAAGACGCTCGGGAAAGAAAGAAGAGACTCCAGCTCTCCTATTTCGGTATCGCTGTGCACAAGACCAGTATCTTCAGAGATCACGAAAAATTGCTGACCACGCAAAGCACCAAGATCGACGTACCCATGCTTTTTTTGGCTGTGAAAGTCATCTGGACATCACTCTGCAAGTTATTCAGGGATTACTTACTGCAAGGATTGATCTAAAACACACCGATGATCATATTCCCTACCGTGCAACGCACCTGCCACCAAAAGCCTTAGAGTTGATTACACTCAATAAAGATAAACCTTTGAAGGATGTAAGTGACCGGTTCCAATCAATACACATGGGAACTTATATATTGCTAGCTCTGGCTGGATGTCCGAAGGGAGTACCCAACACCGCCATTCAGCCGAGATGCTGTGTATAATTTTTGGCGCTCCCTCAAGATGAAGGATTGGAAACTGGATGATGATCCAGTAATCTCGGCAAAAAAGTTGTTGGAGAAAGCAAGTATTGACAATGGCTGGGAAGACTTACCGCGTCGAGTCCACATAATCGAATTAGGGGAGAGTGAAGATTATGAGAGTCTTGGATTCTCAATCACACCGGTGCTGGAATTATGGCGAGGTCGCATTAAGGAATTAGTAATAGACTCAGCATGTAAGTTCCTTTATCCAGATATGGTTGAAATGACTTAGCATTTCAAAGGGAAATGCGCAACGGGTAATTGGGAATTGTTTGTGCTCCTTGGGGAAGCAAGAGGTTCGGGGCTCCCATTGGGCTGGTGCTTTGTGAGAACAAAGTCAAAACAACCAAAGGCCGGCAGTAAAGAAGCTGTGCTTACCACATGGCTCAGACATTTCCGTGATGATTGGAATATCAACGCCCTTGTCACTCATTCAGATAAGGACCGCAGCGAAAAAGTCTTTCCTACTGCCAAACACCAGCTTTGTTTCTGGCATGTGTTGAGAGCGGTGAAACAACGGCTTGCTGTCCTCCGTCGCCAACCAGCTCCGTATAATGCTGCACAAGCGGCAACCGAGTTTGCATTCATCAACCCAATCTTCATACCCATCCACCAAAGAGAAAAGCTCCCTGAAAAAGTCGTAGTGATGCACCTCTTTAGTGTGTGCTCCATCAACTAACTTGAGTCATAAGAGGAAAGATGCCGACATACCTGTTATTCGTACCCACTTGGCCGTGAGGGTGGGAAGTAGTGAGGTGGAGGAAGTCCCTGAGGGCCACGACGACGACGATAATAATGCTGACAGCATCCCTAGCGATGTTAGGGATTTGATTACAAAAGTCCTGAATTGGAATGTCGGTAATAATCGGGAGGGGCAGGAGGGCTGTGTTGATGATGGCGATGCAACTGATGAGGCCGACGAGGAGGATGCACCGGATTGGATGTTTGAGGCTAATGAAACTCGTTCAGCGGACCCAGAGTATGAGTTTTGCCCTGCAGTTCACCGAAAACAAATTCTGTTAATACTCACCCGCCATTTCTGCCGCCACCCCTTCTTCCCCACCCGTAATGGCATACATCAAAGTGATTGCGAAATCCGAGACAACTCTGTGCAGGAAATGTACACCTTCTGCATTAAACGAGGCTTAGCGGATGTCTGGGGTTACCTCTGGACATCATGGTACTCACCTTTGGCATGGAAACTCTGGGCGCGGTCCAGCAATCCATCAATTCTCTCACGTCTACGAACCACAATGACAGCGGAGAAGCACTGGCAATATCTGAAGCACACTCACCTAGGCTTCATGCACCGGCCACGGCTCGATCAAACCATCTACACAATGATAACGGGCGTTATTCCATCAATAATTGACAAATCAATTGAGTTGGATGGCACACGTCGCCTTGGACTGGCCCCGCCACTGACAACCTTCCAAACCCAGGCCAAAAAAGCTTGGCGTCTTCTTGCAAAGCGGCCATGCAGCGGAATCGACTATAGCACGGATGTGATGAAATGGGTGTGTGAGTGTGGTGGCCAGCAGCTGCAGGCGCAGCACCTTTGCAAGCATCTTGTTCAGGCCATTCAAGCGCGTGGCCCTCTGCCTCCAGACTTCTTTGAAACACTCTCACGGCGACGCACAATGCCGATCTACAAGATTGCTCACATACGTGGAATGTCCGATATTGATAATGGCTCAATTTCGGATGGCAACGACAGTTGGCTAACTGTCCACAAAAACCTGTCAAGAGGCGCATGGAGACAGCATGTGACTGGTGGCCCCACCGGCATGACTGCTGAATCGTCAAAACGCCGCCACTCATCATGTGAGGCTGAGGAAATACCCCGGAAGAAGGTAAGCCCACCAAATTCATATCCTGTCGTGTTGTCAGTCACTAAGTAGACATTCAGCCCAAAGGTTATTTGCGTGATTCTTCATCCTCCGGTGACACTGTGGGTTATGGGTCAGATTCTGATGAGGTATGCCTGTGCTTATTCTGCTCAAATTATGCGTGCAGTCCCGGATAACTGACCCAAAATTTTACTTAGTCAATCGAAGGGAAAGAGAAAGTCCGGGTTTTCATGAATAACCTTGACCGTTTGCTGCAAATTCTCGCCAAACAATCCGGATTTAACAATCCGAAATGGGACAAAGCCATCGCTGCAACTCCCTTATTCACAACCGCTGGCAATATCATTGAAGACTACATCAAAATTGTAGAACACCATGAAGCGCGGCCTGAGAAGACATAGCCAAAGACTACCCAAGAGCGCCAGGCTTCTCCTTACACCCTCTACCACCAGGTCTAAGCGATATCTATTCACCCTAAACTAAATCGCGATCAAGGCTCTCCCACCCACTGCTCCGCTATCGCTTGAACACTGTCATCTAGCCCAAACCCACCACCTTCGTCGCGAAGCCTGCCAGTGTGGGAGGAACCATCTTGTCACTGGTGGAGTCAAGCGTAAGCATCATGCCACTATTGCTGTAGCTGTGGTTCAGAGTCGGAGAGCGACAGAGGGAGTGAATCGATTTGGATTAGGCCACACCCACGATTGATGATAACTCGCTCTTTCATCAACCTTATGCTTGCGATGTTCTCTTGTTCTTTGCGCGTTTATGTACATTAGAGTCACTATTCATCTTCTAACTGGTCATTGACTTGCTATCAACATATGCTAAAACCCTCCGAACCCACATTCTTGAACATCATCTAACTTAGACTAATAGTGCGTGTGCGGGCCCAGCCGGACGACCGTCTCTTTCTAATCTTACAGTTTGAAATTATTGAAACCTCTGGTTGATTTTAGAATCGTATTTTACATTTTTAAGATTTTTTTTTCACCTGCACATGACCTTTGTGGAACGTGCTGGGTGGGGCATTTAGGTTTAGTGGGTGAGCGTCCGTCCTCCATCTTCAATGGCAGGTCGGGTTGGGGTGATGTGCAACAAGGGCGAGAGAAAGGAAGTTCAAAAAAAAAGCTGGGTCATTCCAACGGACGGTAGGGTCACGCTTGCACAAACCACCGGGAAGGGACCCGTCGGCAGCACTCAGTGCCAGTCGCATCATGGGATGGTCATGTGCAACGTTGGGCCTTTTATGGAATGGAGTGGAGGGTCAAGGAGCGCGAGAGAGAGGAGATGCCAACGTGAGGCTCGATGGTGCACTTGGTATGTTACGCGGGGGATTCCGAAACGCCTGAGAGGGCTTGTGTTCGAATCCCTCCGGTGTTCATCATTAAGTTTTTTCCATTGGGTCACTTCCCATAGTTGCTGGATCCTCCCAGGCTCCTGTGATCCCTCCACCCCTCTACTCTTCCTTGGCAAAGTCGGAGTTGGCACTTGGACTTGAGGATGTCCTCCTCCTTTCCCGAAAAGGAAGGAGGAGTGACCCAGAAAGGCAGGAAGGGCCTCCGAAAGGGGAAGGAGGCTACCTTCCCGAAAGGGGGAGAGAAAAATGGTAGTAAGGTACTACAGTGGGATGAAGTGAGTTTTGGTGTGATTTTTCTCTTTTTTATGATACCAAAAAATCGCCATGGCACAAGTATTATGATTCATAATACCCACTGTGATTAGATAGTGTCAGACAAAAGGTAAAGGTGATTACGAGAGTGTTAGTTTATTCACATGTACACTGAGCGAGCAAGATGTTTAAAACATAAGCTCCAGAAGGGAGGATGTGTGTTTAGGTATAAAAAGTGAAAAGGGATAAATATTTGACAAAAAATCATGGTTTGTTGCGGAACCAAGTCTAACGGCTCAGATAATAAGATCATCTCACAGTGTCCGCCTCATCGGATGCATAAGTGTTGGCGAGAATGTCGTGAGCGTCAGGTTGAGTGAGATGTTGCGACATCGAATTATCGACCCCACCCACGAGTATTTCACCTTTTTTCGGTCTCTGCCGCTCGACATCCGACACGGTCGACTCGCCATCGGGTGGGGAACGTCTTTTCCCAAGTACTGAGCCAGTTGATGACGCGAGAACGTGGGCGTTGGAGCCGGGAAACCCCACTCCTTGTGTAGGTGAGGGTTCAGGTTGCAGCACAGAGAAGTTCCCATTAGGTGCGACGGATTGCGGGGCTGTAGAGCAGCCTCGTGACGCGTCTACAATCGTTCCATCAGATGTCGACCCCACTGGGGATATTTGCGAATCTTTCCGGAACTGGGTTGTGGTCGAGTCAGAGTCGAAGTCGCCGTCCTGTACACGTGGGTCGGGGGGATGGGATGCAGTTTGAAACAATTCTTGCTCTAGAAGACAGGATGCATCATCCACGGCAGCCGGGGATGAGTGAAACTTCGAATTTTTGTGAGAAAATGGCGCTGGGGGCGAGTTCTCCAGGATGGAATGGGGAGAGGGAGATCGGGACGGTGAAAAAGATGGAGCCTTGCGTCTGATCCTGCCTGGATCTCTGCCTTTTGAACGGCGCTCGCGATCATTCGTGGTACGAGAATGGATATGGTCGACACTGGATTCGCTTCGAATGTCGCTAACTGGTTGGATATTCATGCTGGGCGAGTATCTTCCGTCTTCAAGGGGATTGGGGATTAGATCTTTATCGCGGGACAGGAAGGAAGGTTTGGGTTGACTGAACGCTGCATGAGGAGGATGCGGGTGCGGGTGGTATGCGAGGGATAGTGAGCCGTTCTCGGCATCATGACGGGCGCTTCGTTCGATTTCAGGCGAAAGAGAGTAAGATGGTTCGCAAGACGGTTCGGCTGGAGCATCTAAGCGAACAGCATTGGGAACCATAAGCGCAGGGTCTGCTGTGCTGCGCTTTTCATCTCGTTTCATTTTCTTACGGCACCTGTAGTCGATGCTATCAGTTGGCTGATAAGAGTTTACTTAGTTCACACTAACCTATCACAAACTGTTCCCGGCCCTGTCAAGGAGTCAGATCACTGAGAGAGCTCGGTGAGATGGTTGATACCTACCTTCTGGACCTGGACCCCACTTCTCGACAGACCGTCCGTCTTTCAGTCGACCTGGCCTCCCACATTGACTGCAAGTTCTCTCATTCACAGGCGCAGGTTTTCGTACGTGATGTGCTTCTGCGTTCCGGTTGAGATCGACAACAGCTGCCATGCTGTCAGGACCGTTTAGGGGGGCGAATGCGATATGGGCATCCTTATTTCCAACTTGTGCGCTTCGCAGGCCGTAAGGTGTCTCCATAGAAGGAGGAATCGCTAGGTGGGCTGAAACGTGCCCGGTGCCAGCCGAGAATCGATAGTCAAGTGTTGAGATGTGGAGTGCCGTGGAGCCAGTGTCTGAGATTGGTACTGTTGAGGAGGGATACGCCAATAACGAAGGGGAACTCTCGCGAGTCCGAGAAGGTTGGTCCGGGGGAAGAGGGTCACCAATAGGTTGAGGGATGCGGTGGGCAATAGCACGTAGCTGACCATGCTGATTCGAGTTGTTCCTATTCTTGCGTCTATCTGCACTATCACGCGCCACTGCCGAGGATGAGGATTGGTGACGAGGACCAGGTGCCTCTATCATGAGTATTGGGTTATTGCGATGGGATTTCTTACTTGTCTTCCCTCCTGTTGGCTCGTCACCATCGGCGACATTAAGAATCATTTCATCCAGACTCATATCTTCATCTTCGTTTGTAAAAGTGTTTGGCTTATGATTTCTGGAAGGACGCGCCTCAATTGTGCGGTCTGATTCCATTTCGGGCAAGGGACTGGGTGATGGCACAGATGAAGGATGTTCTGATGAACGTTGGCGAGATGGGACGAGGGCATCACCAGGAGCTTCACCTGAATGAGGAATGGAGGGCGAGTGCCGCCATGGGTGGGTATTGTGTGTGGGCACGTTGCGTCCGTCGGTTTGGCGGGTCGATTCCAAGGAAGGTCCATCAGGTGGAGGTGCGATAGGATACGGGCGATGCGGGTAAGCTGCCTGCTTGGGCCTCTGCGCATCAGTGTGTATCGCATGCAGTGTTTCCACCAAACGAAATAGAAAGGAGCGGAACGCACTCTTGGAAGGCGATCGTGTTCTTGTCTGTCAAAAGAACCCAAGCCAAGCGCCTAGGGAAAGGAGATAAGGAAAATAATCACGAATCTACGTTTGGATTACCTCTGGATCGAGTGGCTTAACTCCCCAACGTAAGGCGATGGACCTGGAAATCGCGGCGGCGTGGAGGAGATGGCGATTAAGGTTCGTTAGCAGGTCTATGTCTGCTTGGGAGACGGCTGGAGAAGGATTCCACGACATATTCAATGGGACGCCCGTGACGGAGGAGGTCTTTGGTTTGAAGTCGGCCTTTAATACTCCGTCGTCGTCTGAAACGTGCTCATCCCGGCCGTTGTCCGAGGTCACGTGAAGTTGTGCAACTGTGGCTGCTAAATATGGTATTCTGATTCCCTTAAGAGGAAGGAACACATGTTGAACCAGCACCGCGTTAGCGCCCCCGTCTCCAGGCGCTGTTGTTCGGTTCTGTACTGTCCTGGCGATCATATTGGCCGATGGCTCTGCGCGCTTGTTTATCTCACGGCATGCAGGCGACACGAGGCAACAATATAATTCGCTTAATTTGGCTCTTTCAGCTTTTGTCTGGTCCAATGGGCCTCGAGGCAATCGCTAGGTACATTCCACCTCAACTGTGACTTTGCTCGTCTCATCTTCCCCCTCATCACAACTACTGGTACACGGGCGACGTCTTGAAAATGTCGTACGCTGCTCCTAAACAAACCTGGCCGCCTAACCAGCGACCTTCCAACAACGGTGAGTCCCTGTTATGCTTAGAGCGCAGCGCCTTGCCATTGGCTCTGGAGCAACGAAACTGAGCGCAATGTGGCCAAAACTATAGGGACGCCACCAACATCGCACCCCATCGATATCGCAGAACATCACACTTATAACCCTTTCGATGATGGGCCACCTGTCCCTATTCGACGCAAAGCCCGCGAAGTATCTGATTCGTTCAACAGCACCATCAACGAGGATATGTACTCTCAGCAGCCGTTCAAGTAAGTTTGGTTTTTCATCATCGCATACAATTGCGCTGATGACACTTGTTCCTCTGGGCATATTGGTGTCGCTGACGCATCACCGATCAATAGAGTCGAATCACTGGATGCCCATGCCGACCTTGTGTTTGGGCACACGGCGGGCCCGACGCGGCGAACGCCTACCCCACCACACGTGTCCGCTGCTCCTGCCACGAGTCCTCCGAATAAAAACCCATTCCAACGTATTCCTGTTCAGGCTGCTCCGCCATACGCGCAAGCAAAACCTGTCAGATTACCCCCGCCTCCGTTCTTATCTGCAGCAATTAATTCCCGTGAATCATACTGGACTCCCTCAAATCTTCCAAGCTCGGACACTCCATCTCACACCTCCACTAAGGGCAGTGATACCGGGGAAACCATAGTTGAAGCGTGGTCCTCCAGAGAGCGCCTATCTGAAACCACTCTGCAGGCAGAAGAGGAGGATGACGACTCTGCACCGGACATCAGGCAGCAGCAGCCGCAGCTTCCATACACGCTATATGGGCATGTCCAGCGCGCAAAAGCATCCAATGTGGTTATGCAGCAGCAGCAGCAGCCGCAGGTGAAACAATCCCCAAGTGGAGTTCCTCACCGTTTTGTTGGCGAATCTTTCGCACCTGAACGTCTGTCGCTGCGTACCGAAGATGTCCCTTTACCCGACTCGGACGATGTTGATTCTTCTCCCGTTCAAGTCACAAATTCATCCCCTACGCCCTCCCACCATTATGCCCCACCCCACTCGTCTCCACTCAGGCGGCGTGGGTCGGATGTGGTAGTTGCACCAACATCCCCGCAAGCCGTCGATGTTGTGCTTCAGCCAACCTCAAAGCCTAATTTGGGAAATGCACCACAACAGGCTCCCTCTCAGCGTAAACTCCCGACGCCACCGTCCTCTCACGGCACCCCTCCAAGCGTGCACCGAGCATCTCCTATCGCTGTGAACCCGGCAGGTCCATCACTCACAAGCCCTCCTGGTACGGTGGCTTCTGCATACGCTACGCCGGCAGCCTCTTCGGGACAAGAGGAGACGCCGACCCGTGTGAGATCTCGCATTTCTTCCCCAACCCCCGCTAGCGGAAATCGATCCAGGAATACTGGCGATGCCCCAGAACGTTTGGACTCGAAACCTCAAGAACAACAGATACGCACTCAACCTCATCGTCCCACCAATATCCGGACGGACACCTTTGCCACTGCCACTACATCGCCAACAATTCCCACTCGTGCTCCGGGTGCTCCGCCTCCAGACCGTAGCTTTCCTGTACGCGAAGACGACTATCGTGCCCGTTCTGCTCGTCCTATTGTCTACGGACCCAACTGGTACCAGCCCCCGATGTATGCCCCTCTTGACTATGTTCCTGACTTCATCTACATGGATCCAACGCACGTTCAGGGAGGCTTGGACATGAGTATAAATTCTCGTGGATCACCAGCACCGAGTTCGGCGGTTCTTCGAGATGGCCTACAGCTCGGGACCCCAAGGTCACCACTGACAAATTTGCCTGCGTATGAATATCCTCAGGAGCCTTTGTCTGAGGACCCTGATGCCGTCAAGGACGATGAAATGAGGAGCAGGGGTCCTTTTGATGCTGCGGAAGTCCAGCATGCCCTTTGGGTTTTGGAGGTAAGTCCTGACCTCAGTCAACCGCGAGTGCCTATTCAACACCGTTCTTCAGCAACAACGGCGCCTTTATGCCCCTCAACCTCGGTATCACTCGAGTTCTGGTCACCCCCATCGATTTGAGACTACCACACCGGCGGAGCCGCATCCCCTTGATCAGCAAGAACGACCTCAGTCGACCACATCATCAAATGACCTGTATTCTGGTATCCGGCCCGACGCGCCTATTCCTCCAACACCCCGGTCTGCCATGATGATGTCAAATAATGCGTATCCTTTAGTTTTGTCCCCAGCGCCTGCTTTCAATGCCCCTTACCGCTCGGATCAGATTCACAATTTCAGGGGAGTTAATCACCCTCTTCCTCCCAACCTTCCCCATAGGAGACAATATGTGCCTGGAGGTCCTAGAATGTTCCCACCTTCCATCCCGAGTACAGCAATGTCTTCTCCATTTGTAGGCCCAATCAATCCCTTCCTTCCACCAGCTGTCCCCCCGAAAGTGCCGTTTCATCACCTTCTCATCATCCTATACCTCTCCCGACTCGCAAAGCACCCCGCTCTCGTTCGAAAGGAAGAACGCGTAAACAACCACTTCCGCCTCGAATGGCGAGTACACTCCCTCCCAGCTCAGACACTGCGGACGATGTCAACAACGACGACGATGACGACGGCGAACTCACGCCTGGGAGGGCGCAGGTGGAAGATGAGGGACAAGATGCTCTCCCTAGTGATGATGACACTGAAGATGTATGGCTCGAGAAAGATAAGGAAGATAAGCTTGACCTTGAGTATCATCCCTCCTACCTCAACGTCGCGGTAAAGAGGAAGAAGAGATTTCAGGAGAAGTACCAGGAACTGCTCCGAGTTGTGAGTTATGCTTTGCTTGTGGAAACTCTTCTCAATCTTTTTTCATCCAGTTCCGTGAGCTGGACCGCTCAACCGATGCGACCATGCTCCTTATGGTATCACCTACGGATCCCTCTACTCCCTCCGGTACTCATCTTGTCGCCTCACGAGCTATTCTCCGATCGCCTGGCTATTTATCTACTGCTCATCGGGCTCGTGCGTTGTTCTCGAAGTCCATTTCTGCTTCCAGACGTGTTGTTAAGACTGAGCAGGCCTTGCGCGAAGAGGAGCGAAGACGACTCGAGGAGATTGAGAAAGAAGCTAGCGAAATGAGGCAAACACTCGCTAACATCGAGGTCATGGCTGCTAAGGCGGAAAGCTCTGGTGGGGAAGCAAGTCTCAAGGCTGCACTCCGAGCTACTCTTGATGGTCTCAGACAAATGCAGAAGTAAATCTCACTTTGAAAAACGAGGCTCACACTTTCTGACTTTCGTTCTTGCAGGATCAGTGAGGAGCGCGAGATGAGAAGGCGCGACGAAGCTGCCAGACAGCAACGTGAAAATCCGCAAACTGAAAAACTCCGCAGGAAGCTTGCTGGCAAAGTGCACTGATCCATTATTTAACAAATTCCTATGCATCATCCTTTCCATAACGAATCCTTATGCTCTTCACGATAAACTCTGATCTTCCAGATCATGGCTCGTAGATCCCTTACACATATAACGTGTACGGCCTACCAGACAGTACGGCTCTATGTTGCACGGATCGACGCGATGAAGCGCACTAGATGTGCGTACGTATGATGGACAATGCTGTAATCTACAGATACTCAGTCAGCGTTCATGATCATATTGTTCGATCTGGATCATTTTGAATAGGATACATCAAGTAGTATCACGAATTGCCTAAGATATGCTCCGCGCGCTCAACGCTGTGTACTGCCTGAGTTGGTCCCTAAGCCCCGAACAGCGGCAGGCTCCGCGTACCATTCAAGGTACACGGCGGGCACAAGGAAACGTTCGTCGGAATCCTCAGCTAGCACGACGGCCCAGCCGTCTCCTCCACTATTCCCTAGCGCGTATACGAGCTGATCTTCCTGAAGCGCCATTTCATGGGCTCCCTGAGGTTCGAAGTCATACATCGCCCGATAGATTCCGGGAACGAGGATTGGATCTTGACCTATTGCATTTTGACCGTCGGCTCCCGTTTCATTTCCTTCCTCGTATCCATAATCAGCAGTCCCATCCTCATCCTGCGTCGGAGTAGATGCTCGCAGTGGGGATTCATCTCTCCGGTTAGCTCGTCGATCACCGAATATAAATCCAAATCGGGAGGCAAAACCACTGAATCGCGATGCATAGGAGCTCACGCTGTTGCGGGGCGATGAGAGGGTAAGGGCGCCCAAGTGACGTTCATCAGAGGGCGGAAATGCATAGTCACGAACACGAATAATCAAGCTGGCCGATCGTCGAGATTTCGTCTTTTTTTGTCTCCCTGTTGGTGCTATATTATCGGCGGGGGGGGATCCTTCTCTTCGGGATTGGACAGTAGAAGAAGCGACAGAAAATGATGTTGAGACGGGACGGGAGCGTGAGTGGGTGCCGGTACAGAGTGATGACTGTCGAGAAGGGGCTGGCGAAGGAGGGGCGGGACGTGAGGAGGAGATACCAGAAACGCTCGTTCTGGATAATCGGGTTGGGATGGGTGTTGCTGGGCCAATTGAATCGCCATCAAGCTTGGGTGCATGGGTGATCCGGGCGTGAGGTCGGCCTACTTCGGCGATCTCATCAAGTGTCCTTCTGGAAGACATGTTTGCTGGGGGTTTTTGGGCTGTATTGTTGTCTACTGGAGCCGTAAGAGGCGCTGAGGCTGGAAGCGCCGATGTTGTTGTCATGACAGAGACTGGGAGCAGTATAACCGTGAACCAGACACAAACTTGACAAGCTAAGCAACACGTACTAGTTCCCTCTTCCACACCAGCCGTTCGGGCCTTAGCTGGGGTGGGCAGCTGTAAGTGCGTCTTCCTGAGCAGTGCGGAAAGCCGTTTCGCAGATTTCCGTAGTCTGGCTGCCTTTCTTGGAGACGTCATCGACCTTGCTCCATTTGTGTTCCCAACGTCATCCCTCCTCTGTAAGATGCGATAGTAACATCGCACAAGGATGGAGAACATTGTATTCGAATGATCAAAGTCGTCCCTTGTGTTGGAAGCACCTTATCCTCATGTTCTTGACTCATATACATATCTATTCTTTCCTCTCCAGCGCATTCATATATATACCGGTTATATACTGGTCAAGGTTCTGGCACCGGAATGGAGCAACGCCTGTTGAGCATCCTAGCTATTTACAGCTGTCATAGTGAGCGGTGCAATTAATGCCATTCCAGCCAAAGGGCCGAAAATCAGCGCTCAGCACCAGAACTCCGATCCAGAAAAGGGCCAAAGTTGAAATATATTTGGAAATTGTTGAAGGTGGCAAGCGGAAGTTTTCTTTTTTTTTTCTTGGTGGAATCCCTCGTAGCTTTCGCTGGGCAGGGCTGCCTGAGGGTTTGTAGGTAGGAGCCGGGCCCCTGGGTTGGGAATGCTGTTGTGGTTGTTCCGAAAGGTCCACCGCAGGGAAATGCCTCTACGCACTTTTTGACCCATCATTCGGGAGTTCGTGAAGATGGTGTGGTATAGAGGGAATGGCCTATTCGCAATCCCGGAGGCATCAGGAAACCCCCGTGGTCCAGGTGCTACTGACAATCAGCAAAAATCTCTAAAAATTAACACCCACTCCTGGTCACTCTTGACAATCATCAGGATTCTACTGGATGTTCTCTGGTGTAGCAAAGCTTCTAGACAAAAGAATACTGCAAATTGGGAGGCCCCTTCTGAGGGGAGAAGTCCTCTGTATCATACAGGAATAATACTGGACTATAAGTGAAAATCCATGCACCCAGGAATGAATAGTCCATGGGGCCACAGAATAGAAAAGAAAGTGATGGAAATAAACCCACTTCAAAAGCAATATAGGTAAAATGAATGAAATGAATATGACCAAACCCAAACCGCTACTCCTCATCCTTCTCCCGCCGCTCCAATAAATCCTCCTAAATCGTAGCTTTCCACCAATACTAAATTCGTCCAAATCAGTCCAGTGGAAACTGAGATATTGATTTCTGAACTTTATGCCCACCAGGAAGGTGTCAGGGCAATAGCCCCGAACCCCAAGCCACATGTAATTAGATACATATAGTCATGTGGGTAAGTGGGAACCTCTGGGTAACTGCTTACACACTACTGTAAAATACACACACTTGTATCACTTATGGCCCTGTGTGCTGAGCTACCCAGAGACCTCACACTTTTTTAAGTGTATGAGGTGTGTTTTACAACACAACCCACAAAAACTATCCAATCTTAACATCTGACTCGGTAGCACCTATGGCACCTAAACACGCCCACAAGGGCAAGGTCGCATCTGCAGCAACGCTAAAAAGAAACGAGCGGTTTATTAAGGCTTCGTTCGGTAAGAAGAAACAGGTTTCTTTGGCCTGTTTCTTCCAGTTTCTTCAAGCAGTTTCTTTACAGCACTTCTGAAGAAACTGTTTGCCCTGGGGAATCCCATCCAGTAGCTAGTTTTTATTCCTGTATTATTCAGACATATTTGTGCAACCTCATACGGAAAAGTAATGCCAAAAATCACCGTGAAGCATCAGCGGCTCCTCATTGGGCTAATTATATCTCAATGGGCACTTTCCGCGGTTGAAATATACCACCATCGATACATCCTCAAACGTCCCTACCATGACTCGTCATATAAGGGTGAGGATTGGCTTCGGGATTTGCTGAATGGGCACCCCACTCGGTTCCACAGCCAGTTTGGGGTTCATAAACATGTCTTCCGTCATCTGGTTGCCGAGTTTCGAACCATTGGGATGAAAAATTCAAGGCATCTCTCCCTTGAAGAGCAAAGTGTGATATTTCTCTACTCTGTGGTAACTGGACTCTCAGTAAGGCTCATTGCAGAGCGCTTTCAGCACTCCTTTGAGACCATTTCAACGTCAGTCTTTCATATTTTATATCGGATCACTTTACTAACAACTTTTTCAGTTACTTCAAGAAAGTCCTTTTCGCACTATCATCACCACCCTTCTATGTCAAATACATACACCTACCCCAGCCTAATGCCCCAACTCCTGTTGAGATATCCTCCAATCCCAAATTCTATCCATTTTTTAAGGACATCCTCGGTGCCATTGATGGCACACACTTACCCTGCAATCCTTCAGCAGAGGAGTGCGAAGCGTCCCGCAACCGAAAAGGGGGAGTCTCTCAGAACTGCCTTGCAGTGTGCTCATTTGATCTTCATTTCCAATATGTACTCAGTGGATGGGAAGGGTCAATTGCCGATATGGCCATGTACCGTGATGCACGCGCAACAGATTTGCCTATCCCAGAAGGCAAAATGTACCTTGCTGATGCTGGATTTGGTGCATGTGATACTCTACTAGTTCCATATCGAAAAGAAAGATATCATCTGCAAGAGTTTGGGCGGAGTCACCTTCAGTGAGTTCATTTTATCACTTTACCATATATGCTTCTCAGTTGTCCAACAGACCACAAAATCATCGCGAGCTTTTTAACCTTCAACATGCTCAACTTCGGAATGTTGTGGAGCGCATATTTGGAATCATAAAGAAGCGCTTTGCAATTCTCCAGCGTGCCCCTTCCTATCCAATGGCTATTCAAGCTCGAATACTTCTGGCACTCTGCTGCCTCCCCAACTTCATTCGGTTTTACGATGCTGATGAGATTCAAGCTTTCGGAATGGCTAGTATGGACATAACCCCAGACCATTTTGGGGAACTTCACCGTGCTACTATCACCTGGCAAGAAAGCAGCCGCGTGAGTGGGGTTCGAGATAGTATAGCTCAAGCTATGTGGACTAACTACCAACGACACTTGCATGTGCAGTAATCTCAGTCTATTTGAAAGTATGCAAACAAAATTCCGTGCACAAAGTATATGAAACATGGAGTGTGCATTACTGAAATCTTGGTGCCACCAAAGGAGCTATCTTCTTCTTAACCCAATTTTTCCGCAGACTATCACGCTTGAGGCTGAGATAGAAATCTGCCGCATAAGGTTCCTCCTGAAGAACATTGAGAAGGATTGTCAATTCTTCGTCATCTAACTCATCCTCAATCTCCTGTGCATGATTAGAAGCATTAATTTTCCGTTGTGGAGTTGTTGGGGCAGTTGGAGATGATGCCGAACTGGATGCAAGAAATGCCTTGGTGAAGTCACTCATTGAGTCAGCCAGTGCTGTAAACCCAATTGCGGCATTGGATCGGGGAATTGCATGCTTCCGTTTAGGTAGTGCTTCGGCCTTGACAACCTGTTGAACAGCTGAGCCTTTTGATTCATGTTGCGGTGACTGATGCTGATGAGTCAAAGAGATGGAAGGAAGAGATGAGAGAGATGACAATTTAAGAAGATCTGGGTCAATATTGGCTTCAAACCCAAGATTGTTGCACCTGTGAAGTCGTTCGGGGGAAGGGGTACATGACCAATTCTCCATTTTGTTGGCATCCTGCCAAGATGGTTTGAGTCGCAAATTTCAAGGAAGAATCAAGCAAACCTTTTGTCCATCACTTGCAAGTTCAGTATCCTCACTTTCAGGCTCATCCAGATCATTCTTCTCTGGTATCTTAGTTGCATGGAATGCTTGGCGCCCAGTTGCACGCTTGGGATTGATCTCACCCATTTCATCGAAGAGTGGCCACCCTTTTTGATGGAAAGGAGCCGCAAGAGGCCACTCCTGTGAAAGTAGATATCATTATTAGCTTCTCCCCATTGCAGTCATCAGACAACAGCAAGTAGCTACTTACCACGACAAAATCAACCCATAATTGTTCTTCTTCTGGTCCTATATCGGCACCATTTCCATTGCTCCAAGGGAATCCTGACTGCTCCGAGAGTCTTTTTACTGCCCAGTAGATCTGTTTCAACTATGGAAAAGAAATACTCATAGTCAGTATTTCGAGCTTGTATGGTAACTAGCTATTCTCAGACTCACCTTGCCATATTTATTCTTGCAAGCGCTGGGCTTGAAGAGAGTTCCACACTGCTCATGTAAGTGTGCTGACACAGCATTCCAAACCTTTTCCTTGAAGCCTATGTTGGAAGTGCCACCTGCGCACTTAACATTGAGGAGACAGTGGACAAGTTCTGCCTCTTCATTGGACTTCCAAGTAGCGCGCTCAGAAGGAATGTTGGCAGAAGTAGTGGATGTGTGAGTGGACCCATCTTGGGGAGGTCGGCGTCGTTTGTTGCCTTTCTGTGGTGTGGTGAATGGTGCTGAGGTTGTATTGACATCTGAGTCATCAATGTGTTTACGCTTCCGTGGCATAATTCAGAGGATTAGGGCCCAGTTCCCACACAGATTGTCGCTAGTTGCAACATAGGATATTTATAAAAGAATCTATGCCGAGAGATGACAAAGAAATTGCCATACCGAACAGTCCATCAGTTTCTTCTTGTTTCTTGCTGAAAGTGAGAGAACAAGGTAGAAAAAATGAGAAAGAAACACGCAATTTTTGTATTAAGAAACAGGAAGAAACAGGCCAAAGAAACCTGTTTCTTCTTACCGAATGAAGCCTAAGAAACCGCAATCTCCCATCATGGGAGATTCAAACCAAAAGCCGTCATCAGACGACAACGAGGATCAACATGATCCGGCATTAGCAACCACCTCAGGGCTGGCCCCTGAAGGTTTTAGAAACTTATGTGGAGTAAGTGCAGGGCCTAATACCCCTAGAACTCCACGACATACCGATCTAACCCAAGCTGGGGAAGATCCCTCACCTCCTCACAAGGTGATCAACTTGTGCAATAAACGCATAAGTGCTGAACGATCAGCCCAAAAAGCTGATTGGATAGAGTTGCAGGAAACTCCAGGGCCCAACTATCCCCTGGAGTCCCCCCTCATGTCCCCAAATCAAGCCCCAAAGGCAGACAAAGGGAAACAAAGGGAAGAGCCCCCGCGTCGGCTATCCGAAAAACTACTGGACTTGTTCCAGGTTCTGTCCGAATGGAGGACAGAAGGCGAAGACCAACTTCTTCTCAGGCTGAAAGCCGAGAAGGTGTGAAGATATGCCCTGAGAGCAGGATCTCCCAGAGTGCGGAAGCTCCAAAAGAACTTCTGCTGTTTACACTCCTGCACACCATGCCAGACAA